ATGTGTTTATGAGGTCTTTCGAAGCTCTCTGAAGAAATGAAATTTTATCATACATGACGACCACATCAAAATCAGTAAATGCTCTTGATATCAAGCAGAGGGAAGCTGAAGAGAGGCTTCATTCTATGCTTGTGTTTCGTGCGGGTGGAAGGGATTCAACGTAATGACAGAGGTTAGTTCGAACTTCCCATGACAGGTCATTCAACTGGAGTGCACACTCAGTTTTTTTTTTGTTCAGAACGATGACGTGCAATTAGAGAAAGCACATGAGAGAATTCGTGAACTCAACAGTGAACTCGTTAGGCAAGGCGACGCTTCAGCAGAGGTAAGAGTAGCCTCTAATTTTCACCACCAGTTGGGTCAACGCACCTCGTGCACCACATTAGCTCTCATTTAATCGAAGTTGTATTGTTCGCTATGGACAGCGGGGTGTTCAGGGGGTGGGTTCGGCGCGGCACCAGCTTGTTCTGGGCCAATTGTGGAAGCTGGCACGCGATCACAGCTGATGGAGAATAGCCTGGCTACGAACCAACCTCCTCCCCCCCCCCCCCCCCCCAAAACAAGAACTATATGCGTACATGCATGAAGCAAAGCCGCCGTGCAATCTAAATTGCATTTCATAAATGAAGCGGTAAGAGTATAAGTATCCGTGCGCTTATCCATGCGCTTGATACTGATACCTGGAGGCGGTCTTCAGGGAGGAGATGGTACGTCCGACATACCATGTCTTATTGGAAGCACCCCTCGTGTTTCTTGTCGCTCTTGTCTTTAATTCAGCTTCAGAAAGATCTCCATAACTCGGAAAACTCAAGCAATCCATGAGATGGGTGAGATGAGCATTCTTCTGCTTCACGTATCTCCGACGCTGAAGGGCGTCATGCATGTCTCGCCCCTGAGCACGGGTACAATATCGTCGGGAGAATCGGATCGGGCAGGGGAGGGAGGGGAGGGGGCGTACCAGATGAGGAAACTCTGGGGGAAGGGTCGTATTGACCGCCGTTTCATACATCACGACGCTGTACCCTGACCCTAAACCGTCCTCCTCAAGCACCACCGCATGCAGCAGCAAGACGCTTCATGTTGTTCTCACTCACCATATTCATGAGAGATAACCATGGTATCAGGGATAAAGTTATTGATTACTCGTAATAACCACTCTCTTAGTTCTGTGCTGTATCCCTTTTCAAGATGTCAGATATCAGTGTGAATGCAACCCAAGGCTGATGGTGAGATAAAATTCGGAGACAAATTATGACATTCACCTCCGAAGAGATCCTCTCTGTGGGCGAGTTGGCCCTCACGCATTCACCTCGCGCAACTGCAGTGCGTGCAACTTTCTCCACTTGAAAGTGCACGGGAACGAGGCTGGAGACTAGTGACGTCCGAGTGTCGTCTCCATACTCTCAAAGTGCAGTACTTGCGCCGGTAGTCCCCCACCAAAACACATACTCAGTGGTGTAGAACAATCAAAAGTGAGAGGGCGCAGGCAAGTAGTTTGTTCGGTCATGACTAGGAGTGTGGCTGATCGTGCAGCAGCGCGGGCGGACTATGGACATGACATCCAGGTACCACTACCCTCCAGCTCGTTGCATTTTCATGGGAAGAAAGAGGCACGGCACTTCAGTGTGAACCCATATACCTCGGACGTGTCAGGGACCAGGACCCATGGGGCTGAGTGCACAGTTTGTCTTCAAGTACATTCACGAATACCAGCAGATGAATGT